CAAACAGCTTTCCAAAATGATTATACCAATTTACATTCCCATCAGCAGTGTTTGAGAGTTCTAGTTGCTCCACATCTTCACCAACACTTGTATTTTCTTTCTTTTTCTTTTTTTTTTCTTTCTTTTTCTTCTAGCCTTTCCAGTGGGTATATATTATTATTACATTGTGGGGGTTTTTGTTTTTCCTTTTTTAATTCAATTTTTTTTATTGATATACAATAGTTGTACATATTTTGGGGCTACACATGATATTTTGATACGTGTGTACAATGTGTAATGATCAAATCAGGGTAATTGGGGTATCCCTCACCTCAAACATTTATCTTTCCTTTGTGTTGGGAACGTACATAGTGGTTTTAATTTGCATTTACGTGATGACTAATGGAGTTAGCACCTTTTCATATGTTCATTGGCCATTGGATTTCCTCTTTTGTGAAGTACCTGTACAAGTCTCTTGCCCAGTTTTCTATTTAGTTGTCTTTTTTTTCTTATTGATGTATAGTTCTTTATGCATTCTGGATACAAGTCCTTTCTCAGAGATATATGTATTACAATTATGTTCTCTCCATTTGCTTACATGCCTTTTCAAAGGAATAAAGTAAGCAGTTTGAAAATAATAAGAAATTTGGGGCTTCTTTAAAACCACTTTGTGAAGAAATCTGTTCTTTAATTTACTATGGGCCGGGCGCGGTGGCTCACACTTGTAATCCTAGCACTCTGGGAGGTCAAGGCGGCCGGATTGCTCAAGGTCAGAAGTTTGAAACCAGCCTGAGCAAGAGTGAGACCCCGGCTCTACTATATAGAAAGAAATTAATTGGCCAACTAATATATATAGAAAAAATTAGCCAGGCATGATGGCACACACCTATAGTCCCAGCTACTCAGGAGGCTGAGGCAGTAGGATTGCTTGAGCCCAGAAGTTTGAGGTTGCTGTGAGCTAGGCTGATGCCACGGCACTCACTCTAGCCTGGGCAACAAAGTGAGACTCTGTCTCAAGAAAAAAAAAAAAAAAGGAAAGAAAAAATTTGCTATGCAGTGATCATGGCGTAAATGTCTGTATTCTTTAAAAAGGCATATTTTCCACCAAGAAAACCACTTGTACATGAATGTTCATAGCAGCATTATTCATAACAGCCAAAAAGTGAAAACAACTCGATGTATATCACTGATGAATGGATAAATGTAGCATAGCAATGTGATGGAACATTATTCGGCAATAGAAAAGGAATAAAGTGCTGTAGTGATGGTTGTACAACTCTGTGGCTATACTAAAAGCTATTTTATTGTGTACTTTAAATGGATTAAACATATGTGAACTATATCTCAATAATACTATTAAAAAGAATGTCAGGTTTTTAAGAAAGTTACTCAAAAAAACAGTTTTTGTTGGTTAATTGGAAAATCAGCTAGATATTTACCCACTGTAATTTGACAAGTTAGAAACCTGACAGTGGTATCACCTGTCTTAATTAGCAAAGGATCAGCTAACAAGTTGCTTCACAAGCTATCTTAGAGGTGCCATGTTTCCCCGAAAATAAGACCTACCTATAAAATAAGCCCTAGTAGGATTTCTAAGCATTTGCGCAATATAAGCCCTACACGGAAAATAAGACCTAGTGTTGAGTGTGGCTACGCAGCATATCTGCACAACCCATGCATTTCATAGCCAAGCGGAAAAGAAGATGAGCATCCCTTCTCAACTGCCCCATGAGAGCTCTACTGCTCAACATGAGAGATTGGGGCCAATGGTTCTAAAGGAAATAGAGTCCCAAGAAATTCAGGATGCAATTCAGGGTTTGGAGAGTTATGATGTTGTTCCAGAAAAAGATGACTTAACTATATTTGAACAAATGTAGATTGTTGTGTCGTACTTAAAAAAAAAATAACACATCCCCTGAAAATAAGCCCTTGGGTGTCTTCTTGAGGAAAAATAAATATAAGACCCTGTCTTATTTTTGGGGAAACACGGTAGTAGAGGTTGATTACTCTGAGAGACAGGAAAGGTCAGCTAAATTGAGAAGAACTTATTGAAAATTAATAGATATTAGGAAAAAATAAATTCATTCAAAAAGCAGTTTAAAGTAGAATTTTGACCACTTCCTTGGCTCAGAGTCCTTTATTCTGAAAATAAACGAGGGCCCCTGATTATATGCCACATGATATCATGTAAGACATGACCCGCTGCCCTCCAGGAGCTTACCATTGAGCAGTAAAACCAATTTGTGAATTAGCAATCAATACACACAAGAGATAGCAATATAGAGGAATTACATATAAACAAGAATTAGGAGTCAGGGAAGGATTCTCAAAAGGGAATGTTTGAAGGCCAAAAGAAGTTCTCTAAATGGAGAACTGGGGAAGAGCGTATGCCAGGTCAAGGGAACAACATGTTTAAGCAGCAGTTAAACCCTAAAATAACATGACCATTTAGGAAATTACAAGAATTTGAATGGCTACAGTGAAAGAATACTTGCTGAAGAAGTGATAGGAGATAAGGGAAAGGCCAAAAGTGAAGAGCCTTCTATTTTAAGCTAAAAATAACTGTAGAGGCCAGCTATGAGACTCTCCTTCCCCCTTATTTGGGATGGCCTAAACTAGGAGATAGGCTTGTATGTCTTCAAGAGACCCAATAGGGTAGAGGCGAAATAGTCCTGTAATTCCCTGCCTAAAAATAGAATTCATAGTGGAGTTTCTATAGTCAAATACAAACAACAAAAAGGTAAGTTGAGGTCAGAGATGCCATAGCCTCATTTATTCACTCTTTCTGAATCAACAGGATATTTTGAAAAGCAATGATAGTGAAAACATTATCAGAACCTTGGAATATAGCTAAAGCACAGCTTAGATGGTAATTGAAAGCTGGGTGATGAGTGATCCAGGGCCCAAATTCCATCTCATTGCCTGCTTTCTCACACCACTCCCAATACCAAGTGTGTTGATTCCAGTTCTCTGATAACCAGACAACAACATGGAGTCAGATGGGCAAGAAACTTATTGGGGCAGCACTTATGAAAGATAAAGGAGATTAGGAGCAGCAGTAGGTAACTACATCAGACCACAGGGTAGCTGATGTATCCATGAAAGGAGAGAGGGAAAGAAGGAATATTGGATAGCAAAAGATTTCAGAAAACCTAAGCCAACCTAATGTGAAGCTCTGGCACAAAGATTGCCTGGAGTCCAGGGTTGGGCAAAAGTGGTCAGGCCCTAATACCTTACCATGCTCAGTCCTTGGCTAGTTGCTGCCCAGGGAGAGTGTTGACTTTTGCTTGAACAGGGCAGCAGGTCCGAAGGGCTGCAGCTGGAGGGTATCAGCTAACTGCACTCTTTGCTTCAAGTTCTCCCTTGAAAGGAGATCTGAGTAGTACATCTCCACGCTTGTCCACAGTAAGCTTTGTAATATTTTAATGTAAATTTGACATGTTAAAGTTATCTGTAGGCCAAATTTATGTCTATTTTGCTATTGTGACTAGGATCCTTTCATTTGCCTTACAGCTTCTAACCAGTTATAGGTATATAAGAAAGATGTTGGTTTTTTTAAATATATATTTTTTCTATTTAGCTACCTTACTGTGAATTCTTACTAAAGAGTTTTTCAGTTGTTTCTCTGCCAAGAATATCTGCAAGTAATAAGGCCATCTGCAGATAACAACTTTATCATCTTTTCAAAAATAGTGCCTCTATTATAATTATATAAGTATAATGCTAACTGTTGGCATGAAGTGATCAGTCTTTTTCTTCTTAAGAAATTATCTTATTTCCAATTTATCAAGAGATTTTTTAAAAAACAGAAGTGGGAATGGCTTCCAAATTGTATTTTATTGCTGAGATGTTAAAAATTGAAAATATTATACACAGAAAGGGGGGAATTTGCCTAAAAACACCTTGGATTGCTTCCACAGACAACATTCAGATGAAAGCTAATAGACAAACAAAAAATTTAATAGAAAACTGAGTATATAATCTTGTTGGTCTTCCTGGTTTCTTTTAGAGCTAGTGCTTAATTCTTAATTGTTCTCATTTCCTCTCCTACAGTAATATAGCAACGAGTCAGTTGACTTTTTCTATATTTCTACTTTTTACGCTAAGGAATCCTCTGAGATGAGTTTTTGTTCTCCACTTTGCCACCTACTTTGCCTACCCAGCAGTATTTTTTAAGTAAAATCATGGTCTTATTCTTTATAAAATTAATTTTTTACTTCTTTATTGGCAGACCTCAGAGCAGAAATGGGCAGTGCTTTAAAATGTTTTTTATTCTTATTTTAAAATAACTTTGTGTTTATTATAGAATATTTCCAGAATATAGGTAAGTGGTTAATTTAAAATGAATCCCATCAACCAGAGATAACCACTACTTACATCTTTTCTTTGCATACACACATCTGTATACATACAGATGTATTTTTAAAAAGAAAAGTAAAATCACACTATTCATGCTATTTAAATCATGAACATTTGCCAGAGCATAAAATCTTCCTCTAGAACATAATTTTTAAATTCTGTATGCCATTATGCCACTGATTTTAGTTTAGTTAATTCCCTCTTGGTGGACATTTAAGTTATTTGTCATATTTTTAGTTAATGTTTTTTAGATTTGTCATTAGAGAATGTTAAATGACTAATTCTCCTTTCCGTAATTCCTTTTTTAGAGGTACTTTTTGACAAATTCAGGTGTTAAAAAAATGAAGGGCTTTAAAGTCAGATAGACCCTGAATTTTTTAATATGGCAGACTAGGGTCTGCCATATACTTACTAGTGTGTGACCTCAAATAGGAATAGCTGATATAAAGTACATACACAGAGTAGATATTTCCTGATTCCTCCCCACCCCTTTTAAGTGATTTGCCCCCAGGATGATGCTGTCCTTGAGGAACTTTATAAAGACATTTTAGTATTCTTATTCCGTAAACTAAAAACTGACTTTTAGTTTTGGCTGCTATTAATACTATTTGTTTTGTAGTTGTCAACTTTAACATTTTTGTTTTTGTCTCTTTTTCTCCTAGAGATAAGATTTCAGTTTCCACAGCTGACTGGAGTACTTACCCTTGCATTTTTTATTCATAATTGTATTATTACACTCTTGAAGAATAACAAGAACCAAGAAAACAATGTGAGTAATTATCTGAGGAATTGACTTACATTTCCTGAGGATAGACATTTTGAATCAGTATTTGAAGCACTTTATATTTGTTGTACAATTATGTAATTTTGTTATAGTATCTTAATTTTTAAACTCAAACCATAGAGCAGGGGTCAGCAAGTTTTTCTGTAAAGGTTTATATGGTAAGTACTTTAGGCTTTGACAGCTATATGGTCTTTGTTACCACTATTTAACTCTGTTGTGGTGGTATGAAAGTAACTGTAGCTGATAAGTAAACAAATGGGTGGTGGCTGTGTTTCAGTAAAACTTTATTTACAGAAACAGACAACAGGCCAGATTTTGTCCATGGACCATAGTTTGCCAACCCCTACCATAAAGCAACCACTAAAAAAATAAAGAAGTATAGTTAATAAGCCCATAATAGTGATAAAATCATAAAAAATACCTAACTGATCCAAAAGAAGGCAGAGAAAAGGGAACAAAGAACAGATGGAACAAATAGAAAACAAATAACAAGATATAGTAGACTTAAACACATCATATTGATAATTACGTTAAATATGAATGGTCTAAACACCACAATTAAAAGATAGAAATTGTCAGACTGGTTAAAAGATAAAACCTAACTATATGCTGTCTGCAAGAAATTTTTGTTATACTTGAATATATGTCATGCAAACATTAGACATTAGAAAAGTAGAGTGATTGTATTAATATCAGACAAAGTAAAACAATGAGTATTGCCAGATATAAAGAGGAACATTATCTAATGATCTTTGGGGATCAGTTCATCAAGAAGACATAATAATCCTAAAGGTATATGCACCCAGTGACAGAGCTTCTAAGTAAATGAAGTAACAGTTGCCAAACTGAAAGGAGAAGTTGACAAATCTACAATTATAATGAGGTTTTACCACCCCTCCTTCAGTAATTGATAAAACATATAGACAAAAATAAGGATATAGAAAGCATGAAAAACACTGTCAACCTACCTGATCTGATTGATATTCATAAAGTCTTCTATCAACAGCAGAATGCATGTTCTTTTTAAATACACTGGAACATTTACCAAAATAGACCATAGGCTGGGTCATGAAATAAGTCTCAATAAATTTAAAAGGATGTTCTCCAGCCATCATAGAGTGAAATTACAAACCAATAACAAAGAAATTTGGGAAATTCACAAATGTGTAGAAATTAAACAACATACTCCTAAATAACCAATGAGTCAAAGAAATCACAAGAAAAATTAGAAAATACCTTGAGATTATGAAACTCAATATATCAAAACATATGAGATACAGCTAAAGCCCTCCTGGAGGGAAATGTATAGCTCTAAATACCTACCTTAAAAATGAAGAATGAGGCCGGGTGCAGTGGCTCATGCCTATAATACTAGCTCTCTGGGAGCCCAAGGTGGGCGGATTGCTCAAGGTCAAGAGTTCAAAACCAGCCTGAGCAAGAGCGAGACCCCATCTCTACCAAAAATAGAAAGAAATTAATTGGCCACCTAATATATACAGAAAAAATTAGCGAGCATGGTGGCACATGCCTGTAGTCCCAGCTACTTGGGAGGCTGAGGCAGTAGGATTACTTGATCCCAGGAGTTTGAGGTTGCTGTGAGCTAGGCTGACACCATTGCACTCACTGTAGCCTGGGCAACAAAGTGAGACTCTGTCTCGAAAAAAACAAAATGAAGAACAATCTCAAAAACCTAACCTTCTACTGTAAGCCATTGGAAAAAGAAGAGCAAACTAAACCCAGAGCAAGCAGAAGTTATCTAGTTACTTGCTGCCTTGTCTATAGATTTTGAACTCAATTTAACAGCTTCTAACCACGTAAACAAAAATCATGACGAAGCTCAAATTGAAGTCTATATAGTTGTTACTGAAAATACAAAGGAAGGAAGGGTTCATTATACCTGGGGGTTCTGAGAAGGTTTTGAGTAAAGGGTAATGCTTGGCAGAGTCATTATGAAAGCAAAAAGCTTTCTAAGTAGAGGGAAGTTAGCTTTCAAATGAGGGCAAGAGTATAAGTCAAGCTTTTCATCTTTACTGACCACACATCTGGCATATTACCTATAAATGGAGTTGGAGTTGAGTAAGTCTGGATTTTCCATACTTCCTAGCTTGGTGACCTTACCTCACATTTCATTTTGTTCATATGTAAAAATAGCATTAATGCTACCTGTCAGAGTTGTAATGAGAATGTCATTAAATATGAAATGCCCAATTTTGAATCAAAAGTGTAGTTTATTATATCTCAAACAAGAGGCAATACAATTAATCAAATTATATGCCTAAACCATCAACACAGTTTTGCCATCTTAATGGTAGCTTGTTTACTCCAGCAGCATAGAAGACTGGAGAGCAAGTGGTGATGAAATCTCAAAAGGCATTTTCCATAGCTTATTGAGAATTAAATATTTTTCCTTGCAAGAAGTTGTCCAAAACCTGGAAGAAATGGAGTAGTTGCTAGACAGTTGGTGCAAGGTCTGATGAATATGGTGGATGACAGAGAGTTTCCAAGTCCAGCTGCTGTAGTTTGAGCAGCATTGTCTGTGCAACGTGTGGTTGAGTGTTGTCTTGCAAGAGGATTGGCCTGTCTGTATTGACCAATCTCAGCTGCTTAATCGCAGGCATCCTTATCACTTCATCCAATTGGTTGCAGCGGACATCTGCTGTGATCAATTGACCAGGTTTCTTGAAGCTGCAATGGATAATACCAGTACCAGACTGCAAACCAGACACCACTAGCTTTTTTTGATGAATACTCGGTTTTGGACTGTGTTTTGGCACCTCATCTTTATCCAGCCATTGTGCCAAATGCTTCCAATTGTCAAAAAGAATCCATTTTTCATTACATGTAAGATTACAGTAGAAATGGTTCACCTTTATGTTGTGACAGCAAAGAAAGACAAGCTTCAAGACAATTTCTCTTCTGATGTTCATTTAATTCATGTGGAACTCATCTATCTGGCTTCTTTACCTTGTTGATTTGTTTCAAATGGTCCAATATTATTGGAATAGTAATGTCAAACCTTACTGCTAATTCACACGTAGGTTGCGATAGATTCGCTTCCACAACACCCTTCAGCTCATCATTATCCACCTTGGTCTCAGGTTGCCCACGTGGCTCATTTTCAAGATTAAAATCACCAGTGGAACTTCTCAAACCATCCGTACTATGTGTTCATTAGCCACGTCCGTCTCTAAACTCTTTGCTGATATTTCAAGCTGTCTGCACTGCATTGGTTCCACAATGGAATTCATATTTTAAAATAACACAAATTTTTGACTTATCCATGATTTCACAAAAATTGCTCAAAAAAAGTTTGAAAGATAATCACAAGCCACAGCGTACTTTTGAAAGACTGAGGATGTACCTTTACAGTAAACATAAAACAAGAAGTGTCAAAGTGAAATGTCAGAGATATCAGCTGTCAAACTTAGTACTTAAGGAAATTGGACATTTCATGCTTTATATCCTAATAAATATTATAAAATAGGAGACATGTTTAACATGATGTGACATACAGTAAAGGCAAGAAATTTTTAGTTTCTTTACCCCTCTTACCCCTTTCTCTTCTGACATTTACAGCCTGTTCTCATAAGGCAACTTAGACCAAGTACCCCAGAAACCCATTTTGTGAAGTAGAATTCTCATATATCAGATCATTTTCAAACTTAACCACCAAAGTCTCCCTAATAACAGAGAACAATCTTGTATACCTGGGATCTAGGGAAGAATACAGTTTTATTAAAGTCTTGTGTTTTGTCTTAAATATTCATGCACATTTCTATCAGTTCATAATTAGTTTGTGTTACTAGAAAACAGTCTCAAAGTTATGAGTTAAATTATAGGCAGTTCTCCTGTTGCATAGTTCCTGTATGCACAATTTCAGTTACTATGGTTTTCTTAAATTACATTAGTCACCCCCAATATTGTTCAAAGTTCAGTCACCACAGGATTTGAACTATGAGTACTTGCATAAAGTAGTAGCAGCTGCAGGCCCTTCAGTTCACAAATCACTACATAAATAACAGGTTTACATTGTGATTAGTGACCAATCACATCACTTCTTTCAAAGTCTGTCAGTGATTAGTCACTGTGCATGTTAGTCACTTTACACATGGTGTGTAAAGTGGATAGTTGTGTTGCCTCCTTGTCTGCCAGTGATAAACTGATGTGATGTTTTACAGAAGTGGATAATTGAAAGAGGGAATTGGCAAACAAAGGTAAAAGTGCAACAATGAAGCAAAAAGCAATAATGCTGGAAGTGAAATTTGAATTGAAATAGAGTTAGAAAAGAAATAGCCAGTTGTCGAAATGTTGACACTGCTGCCATTCAAAAGAGTCTAGATATGCAGCCAGAGGAACTTAGGGAAGGTGAACTTATCAACATGAATTTGGAAAGTGGTTGTGAAAACAAGAATGAAGAAATCCCAGATGAAGGGACACTGTCAGAAAACTTTGTATTAAAAGAATTCTTTGAGATATTTCACAACATTGAAAGCACATAGAATAAAGGAGTGTGACAATTCACCAAGACACAAAAAAAATGCTTGCCGCATATTGTAAGTTATACAATGAGAAGGAGATAAGAATAGTTGAAACTACTTTTGCTAAGTTTCTACTAAGAAATAGAACACTTTAATTCTCAGTGCTTCTGATATTTTAAGTTACAGTGTACTAAATAAATAAATATTTGTTTTACTATTTACTCATTTCCCTAGACATTTATAACCAATAGTAAGACAGTTTTTAGTGTTATGACAAAAATTATTAAAGATCACAGAATAATCATAAATTTTACCATTGATTACTGTGATTGCTTTGCACAGTTTCAAGTTGCACAGTAATATTTACGGTCTCATACTACTGTGCAAACTGAAGACTGTGCTTAGCTTTTTGCTCCCCACAGTTCTTAAGTAGAATTTCTGTTCTGGAAAGTCACATCAGTTCATCTGGAGGTGTACATGCTCTAGTGTGAGAAGCTAGGACTGGATAGAAAGATGGGTGTTTTATTTCATGGTCCCCCAAGGATTGAAGAAGGGTCACTGCCTTTCTATTAAAACACTCAGTGGGCCTTGAAATCTGTATTTCATATGTAAATACCATAAAAATGAGTTCTTACTTCCACTGAGTTTTGGAACTAGGGCTTTGTAGAACTGGTATGTGAGGTTCAGCTAATAAAATTTGACTCAACTTTTGTCACTTGTGGAAAATGTTTTTAAAACAAGGGCTTATTAGTAATTACTAGTGATAAAGATATTTATGAAGCACTATGTGCCATCAACATTCTAAACACTTTAAATATGTATAAATATATATACTCTCCTTTCAATTATACTGAAATTGGCTCGTATGTTAGTGTAAATCAAGGTAATGGGTACTATATTTTGAGAAAAACTTTGTCATTTGATTTAGTTAATGATTATACCTTTCATCAGGTTTCATTAAGTAATTTGACTTATAGAAGTACTGTTAATATGGAATAATATTTTCTTGAGATAAAAATCAGAAAATGTGAAGCTTGCCAGGGACTCTGAATTCATAATATTGATATTGGGTTAGTTATTCCAAACTCAGTAAACAAAGGTTTCAAAATGGAAAAGAAGACAAAAAAATAGAAAAGACCTTCTCTTCTGTATAAACTCTATTTGAACTTGGATCTAAAGACATCTTGAAACAATGAAGCTCCTAAACAGGTGTAATGATCAAATTTTCCAGGTTTTCCCAGTTCAACTTAATTTTGTGTAGTATTTTCTTTCTTTCACTAAACATATTTTTCACATGTATAAGTAAATGGGATATCATTTCAATTCCTTTGGCATATCTTACCAAAAAAAAAGTTAAGGGACTGAAAATCACCCAACTCGTTCCTTATCTTCAGAAATGTAGTCCCTATAACCCTCCTGGATATGTGGGTTAACCTCTTTATATGTCCTTGTTGTGTTTGAATCAGAACCTATACAGTGCTTTTTTTATTCAGTTTTATTTTGTCTGTCTTTAGTTATATTACCCCGCTTTGGTCTTTAAAATGATTTGAGATGCCTAATATCTTAATTTATTTACTTCTTCCTTATTCATACAAGTCTGTAGTTTACTAGGTTGTACACCAGAAGTTTTTATGTAAGTGCTTGGTGTAGGTCTCTGTGGTCAGATTCTTTCAGTCTTGTTAGTAAATACTCCACTGGATAGTATTTTCACTATAAACGGTACGTGGAACAAATAATAAACCATGTTTGACAAACTGAATGTGCTCCCAGACCACTTCTGGCCCTGTTGTAAATCCAGTCCTCATTCTGAGTTGGCATTCTACCTGTTTTTAGTTCCCTGCCATCAACCGTGCCAGCCATTGCTTATTCATGAGGCAGAGTAGGTTACGTTATTAATGTATATAGGCTTCTTGACATATTACCATTTCATATTGCCACTTGTGCCTCTCTTTAAACATATTTTTACTTTGTGCCTCATTTTCTAAAAGATAACTTTTTTCCTACCCTTTTCTGTTAAATGGGCTTTCAAGAGGCTATATATCTTTAGGCCTAGTACAGTGATGGCTTGGGTTTAAGCCAGAAAATAGCAAATCTCACATATGTATATACTATTCATAGGTGGCATGTTTCCCAGGATCATGCTAAACCTCAGCTGCTTTTATAATAAAAGCATCATTTCTGTTCATTAGTTTATTTTCAGATGAAAACAGATATGCAACTCCTGACCCAGTTTTACCAAGTGTATGTTGGATTACTGTGAAATAGAACTTTTCTGGTTTTAGTATTTCTGTTGCATCTCTATATAAACTCTATTGTATACTTTGTTACTCAAGACTTTTTACCTCTTTCATTTTTTTCATTATTGTTATTTATTAACTACGGCACAAATACATTGGTAACTGGTCAGATCTCCGTGGTAGCTAAGGGCATACAATTTGGAACCAGAAAGACCTTGACTTGAATATTGGCTTCACAAGCTACTCACTTGGTAACCATGAATGAGTTTTGTAACCTTGCTGCACTTAAGTTTACTCATCTACTAAATGAATAAAATGGCTGTATCTACATTATAAGGTTCTTAAGAGGATTAAATGAGATAACACATGTAATATTCTTAGCATAGAGCCTCATACTTAGAAGCACTTAGTAAACAAAGCCAATGTGGTTATTATTTTTTATCTACATTTACTGAGCTCCTACCATGTGCCAGGTATTGTCTTGGATATTGGGGATATAAAGACGAAAAAGACACATTCTCTGTCCTCAGAATCACATAGTCTAGTGGTATGGATCAATTTAGAGAAAAATTTAAAAACCAACATGATATAAGAATAACTAACCATGGCTATTTTGAGTATGTCAAGGGACATTTTATCTCCACTTGAGATCCTTTATATCATGAACATAGATTACTTTTATAATAAAAATTAATGACAGTTACAGTGTAATAGCTGCTATATTTGAGATGTATGTACAGTGCCATGAGAACAGGGAAAGCATAAGGGGGAAACCATCTTATTAGGAAGCCCTCACATTAGGAACATCTTATTAGGAAGCCTTTGCGTCTTTATCAGATTTCCCCCAAAGTGTGCTAAGGTACATTTCTCTGCAGGAAGTCAGACCAAAATAAAGTGGTGATCAGGTGGTATATAGCTAAAGACAGTCCATGGAATGGCTGCTGTCCCTCCTTACATAGAGTCCTCTCTGGCTCAGCTGCTTTGCCTCCTGAGAATTTTTTACAAGGCTACCTTTGTTCTTGAGTGGCATCAAGTAGGTTAAGGACAAAATGACTTTCAAACATCATAATGGGAGACTACTACCCTTTGATATGAAAATAGGCATTGCCTGATTAACTTCTGTTCATCCCACACAAAATCATAAGGCAACCGTAAGGTTGAATGAAGTTTACCCAGCCGTGGGCCCTAGAGCTTCATGAACTAAAGAGCAAAGATTTCGAAACTGCCCCTAACTGCAGGTTGGGTCGTCCTCTTCTCACTCATTCCTAAGCAATTAGAAGTTCTTTGGGAGTGCCATTATTAATCTATATAAGCTCAATAGGCCTATCTAGCACCTAATATAGAATCCCTGGTTTGTTTTCAAGCTGATTGTCAACTTATTACTGACCTTAAGATTTCTTGTAGCTTGTTACTTGCTTTTTAACTGAGTTTATCAACATTCAAGTTTATAAAACTCTATTATTGCTTTAGACCATTTAAGGAGGAAAGTTATCCAAAAAAATCATAAATACCAAATGTCCAGTTTTCTTATTGTATCATCAAATTTTTTTAAAAATCATACATAATTTTCTAATTTGTTTTCTTAGCTTTCAAAGTAATTGTGTTTAAAATGAAAAAGGATTAGGCCCATTGCCATAATTTAGTTGTGCTGAATCGTTTTGCTGTAACTTTAGGGGTGATGGATACCAGATTTGTGAGCTGTGGAATCTGTTCTTTTTGGATCTCACAGCTGGCTGCATTAAATATCTTGGAGCTTTTTACTTTGCATGGAAATGGGAGGTTGGGAGGATGGGAACAGCAGTGGAAGAAAGCAGTCCACTTTATTTAATGTTCTGTGTTTGTTTGCTGGTTCCAGTAATAACATTGTGCAGCTGTTTGAACAGCTGCCTTCTGATTTCCTTTTGTTTACTGTTTAGGCTTATAAAGCTTGTCTTTAATACCTGCTTGTTGTCTGCCTTTTTAGCTAGCTTTCCTTCCTTATTAAATATATTTTAAAATGTTCGACTCTCATGGTCTAGGCATGTTTTGATGATATAAGTTAATTTACTAAGGGAAGAATTTTTTAAATTTTACAGATCATACTTAACTTTCTTGTCCCTTAGCTTTATTGTTGTAGTTAAATATTTTATAATTTGGTAAATAAATTACCTTTTGAAATTAAGTCAGAATTTCAATCATGTAAGACCACTGTTTATGTTCCTAAATTGGCCAACAGGTAGCTTAGTCTACATATTTCAGACTAGTAAAAAAAAAAGAAAAAATTGGCAGACTAATGCTAAAGTATGTGGATTTTGTTTTACTTTCTGTGAACGAATTACATACCTAGAAAGTATACATACATAAGGAAAAAAGCAAATTTTGTATTTATTTGTCAGTCTTAGCATTTAACCTATTCAAGTAGACTTACTGCAAATTTCTATAGTATTATGAGAATTTTATTCTATATTTGCAGGTGAGGGACCTGTGTATTGCTTATTTGCTGGTGACATTAACTTATCTCTATATTGGAGTCCTGGTTTTTGCTTCATTTCCTTCACCACCATTATCCAAAGATTGTATTGAGCAGGTAAGGTACTGTGTACCCTCTCTGTGTGAATGTTTACACTTCATATATGCATCGTAGGCAGAATAGTATCGTGGCAAGATTTAATATCAGACAGGCCTCGGTTTGAATACCATCTCTACTATCTACTCTAAGTAGAGGAATATAGGAACCTCCTCATTCTTTCTGAACTTTAGTTTCCTTTTCCATTAAATAGTATAATACATACTCCATTAGATATTTTAGATGAGTTCTGAGATAACTTACTGCGTGCCAGGCGCCTTGTGGTGCTCAAATAAATGACTACTATCATGTACATATATTTGTCTTTTAGTGGAGAACTGTTACAAATAGTTCTCATTAACTTATAAAACCTCCACAGAGAATACAGTGAATTTCCTTATTTTCCAGAGCCCACATCTGGAAATGCCCCGGATAAACTATTGTCTCAGTTCAATAGTCTCTGATGACAGATCTCACTTTCATTTTGATACCGAGTGGCAGGCAGCAAAACAAAGAAAGAGTATTTGGCTGTTAAAAAAGAGAGAGAGACAGAAAGAATAAAAGAAAAAAATCTTTAAAGAAAATATTGCCATAAGTAATATTTTCATTTATTTAACCCATAAAAATCTTAGGAGTAGTATAGTCTGTAGTTTAATGTGATGGAAGAATTTCTTATTAAAAAATCAGCATTTCATGGGTGACTTTCTAGTCAGGCAAAATCCCTCCAGTAGAGCACAGTTGAATACGCAGTGTGATTTATTACAGCTGATTTATGATGGTTATTTCAGCCAAATAGTGTTAGTAGTGGTCTCATCTTTTTATGAGAGAAGTAAGTGTGAGTTACCTCTGTTATGATAGCTTGAAATATTATTATTCTCTTGATTTCCTTGATTCCAGAAGTTCTTTGGCAGCCAAATGTTTGCTGACAATTTCCTTGGTATGAGCATTCCCATATAAAGCCCTCTCCCTTGGGAATAGGAATATTTGTGGTATTTGTATTTGAAAGGAAAAATAAAATTTCTGAGTGATTAACTTTTATTTCTTTAGATACCAAACTAAAATGGAGAAAGGGTCATGAAAGGAAGTAGAAATAAATCCTTTTCAGTTTAATGATAGCCTGTAAGCAATGATGATCTAGGTGATGAACGCACTCTCACCTTGTTCTGTAATCTTTACTTTGGAAGTGCTACAGTGTCCCAGAGGAGGAAAAGCAAGAGAGCTAGTGAGGATAATTAAATTAAATTAGCCATTTAAATCTTTGTAACAGATTTGAGTATTGTGCTTGAACCCTATAGAGCAGTGCTGCTCAATTTATCTGTGATAAAGGACAAGCTTTTGTTTGTTGTTGTTGTTTTAATGTCAAATCAATTACAGGCTGATACTCTTGTAAAACAGAATAAAACTGTGGCAAATGTAAAATTTCTGTAAAAGTTTCTAAACATTTACTTTCAATTTCTGTACTTACCACATTGAAAAATAGTTTACAAGCAATTTGTGGTTGGGTACCCGTCCACAAACCATAATTTGAGTAGCCCCTATATTGAAAATAAGCAGAAGACATTCTATTTTATAAATTTGTATGTACAGAATTGGATTTTTAACGTTACCTCTTTATCTTTCTTGGATTAGAATTTTTTAGACAACTTCCCTAGCAGTGACACCCTGTCCTTCATTGCAAGGATATTCCTGCTGTTCCAGATGATGACTGTATACCCACTCCTAGGCTACTTGGCTCGTGTGCAGCTATTGGGCCATGTCTTCGGTAACATTTATCCTAGGTAAGGGCTCTTCTCTTGACCAGCAAGATGTGCCGAGCAACAAATGACTAGGCAAGCAGGTCAGTTTAAAGTATGACTGATCCTTTTGCTATAAAAATTTGCCTAGTGAAAATGGTTACTAAAATGGTTACTAAAAGTAGAAGCCATTCCCTTGTATGGAATTATTTAAAGTTCATTCCTTCTAGTATAGTTAATTAGCTCTGATACCAGTAATATTTATCTTATGACTTAGTTGCTGTTAATCTACACATTACCAAGAAGTTTATAGCATATAGTACCTGCCATTGGCAATGTGTAGCTAATGAGAAGCGACACTTTTATTTTAATTATATTGGTCATTGATACTTACTTGTATATTTATTAACATGTGTGCATTTTTACATAAATGATCAGTTGTTTAGAATTGAAGTGAGATATTTAACAAGTTTAAATTCTTATTTTATATATAATGAGTTTAAATTCCTGCTATCATTTTTAACCTCTTATTGGGGATGGAGGAGGGTGAGTCATTTTGAAAATCTGAAGCTGGTTACCCTCATCCAGGAGAAATTTCCATATGTCATTTCAGGGTTTCCCTGCAGCCTTCTTGTGGACACCTGATTAATTCCTACTCTTATATCAAGTTTTATTATAGGGTTAGCATAGTGAAAAGCACCTCATTCTATTTATTTACTTTTTTTTAATTGGATTTCATTCTGTCATCCACGCTGGAGTGCTACGGCACAATAATAGTACATTGCAACCTCGAGCTCCTGGGCTCAGGTGGTCCTTCTGCCTCACCCTACTGAGTAGCTGGGACTACAGGCGTGCGCCACCTAGCTACCTAGCTATATTTTATTATAAATAAATTATCTTAAATGAAGAAAACGTTTTAATAAAATTTGAAAAAAAATTGCATTTACAGTAACCAACTAAACAAGTAGTCTTAGTCAGTTCTTGTTTGAAGTGAACTGATGTAGTCTGTCCCCCTCAGTAAATAATTTTAGCTATAAATATGTCAGCTTAAAAACAAACCAAATGTCAAGTTACCAGGTCTCAAGCATTGATAACAGCAGCAGCTACAGTTCTAATATTGCTAATTTAGAAGACTAGAGTTCAGTAAATTTAAGACTCCTGCTGTGTTTATACTCTGTGCTATATTTATATTCACCAAAATAAAATATCTGCAGTGAAGTCATAGATGGAAAAAGTCTTGGCAAATGCATTATTCCTATTTTCTGCCATTATTTTACAGAATGGTGGCTGTTTGAATAATATTTTTCCTTCTTGGAAAAAGTTTGGAATTTCCCTTATGTGTTCTTACCCTACCACCAAGAACATACTATCAGTTGCCCTAGCTACAAGTACTCTACAAAATATGCATACTTTGGAGCTTAATGTTTGGTCTCAGGACCCCTTTATACTCTTAAAATTTATTGTGGACCTCCAGGAGCTTTAGTTTATGTGGGTGTATCTGTCAATATTTAACATATGAAAAATTAAAACTGAGAACTTTAAAGTATTTTTAATTCCTTTAAAAATCAATAAAACCATTACTTGTTAACACATTTTTTGAAAAATAACTACTTTCAAAAAAATTAGTTTACATTTTCAGAACTCTTAAATGTCTGCTTTAGGCCTGGCCCGGTGGCTCACGGCTATAATCCTAGCACTCTGGGAGGCCAAGGCAGACGGATCGCTCAAGGTCAGGAGTTAGAAACCAGCCTGAGCAAGAGCGAGAGACCCCGTCTCTACTAAAAATAGAAAGAAATGAATCGACCAATTCAAAATGTATAGACAAACTTAGCAGGGCATGGTGGCGCATGCCTGTAGTCCCAGCTACTCGGGAGGCTGAGGCAGGAGGATCACTTGAGCCCAGGAGTTTGAGGTTGCTGTGAGCTAGGCTGACATCATGGCACTCTAGCCTGGGCAACACAGTGAGACTTTGTCTCCAAAAAAAAAAAAAATGTCTGCTTTACTAGTGGATAGTTGGTGTCTCCTGTCTGCTTCTGCATTCAATAATATGTTGTTTTCATTTAAATATGTGAAGAAAATCCAACCTCACATAGATACATAGTTGGAAAATAGAACAGGTACTTTTAATAGCCTTTTCAGGTGATTGTGGATATTCTTATTCAATACTATGCCAAAATTTGATAAGTGGTAGTTTCTCATTAGTTGCAATGTGGAATCTAAAATATGTTTATGTTAAAACCTATTGGGCTATCTTGCAGTTTGAATATTTTACCTATGCATGATTTTGTGTTTGGTCATTTGGAAAATACTGGTTAACTGAGTTCTGCAGACCTTCTGAATGTTGACACACTTCATTATATAGTATTAAACCCCACATTGTTATTGTCACTACTAATTTCACTATAAAAGTCTTTAAATATTGGAAAGCTTTCAAGGTCATGGCAACAAATACAAGTTCTCCAAAATTCTAGTTTTTATTTGAAGGCTCAAATTTTATCTTTGGCAACAAATACTGCCAGTTTTTCTTAAAGTGACAAACTCATATTGATTTTCAGGAAAATGTCTGTCAGACACCCAAGGTTGAATGACCATAGTTTGTCTGCATTTCAAGTAAAACTAACATTTGTTGGGGAAAACAGCTAGGTCAGCCTCCAGCTCTGTTTTTCCTCAAGACAACTGTACTTAAGTATGCAGCAGATGTGCTTTATTTGATCACATAGAATATTTAAAAGTTATGTATTTAAAGCATGAAATTTAATAGAACTAGTTAATTTTACTTCTTTATCCAGGATTTTTTTTTTTTTTTTTTTTTTTTTTTACTGTTTTTCTTCTTTTGGGAGTAGATTGCAGTAAAGAATACAGTATAGAATATAGGTGCAACTGCTTAGATCCATGTTGAGGGGCCAACAGTTTTACCCATCATTGCTTTTTCAAAGCAAATAATATATTGAATTATTGTGAAAATAATTTTTACCTCAGGGACTTCCTAAAAGAGTATTGTGAACCCCCTAGTCTATGATCACACTTTGGGAACCCCTACTTTGGAAAATATACAAAGTTGTTTCCTCTTACAATAACAAAGGCGCAGCCAATGTCTCAAAGTTCTTAAGCAATTTTAGGGTTGGAGTTTCTGGATAAATAGTAAAATCTGGAAGCCTCATATCTTTGTAATTCATCAAGATGTATGACTAACCACTTATTTGTATAAATTTCCTTATTTTTAATTATCTCTGTAATCTTTATCTGGGATTAATTAACCTCTGATAACTTGAGCCTGAAGTATTGCTTTGATGTGTATATTTGGCATTTGAGAATCATTTCTTGAGAAAATAGAGTTATTTCTTGAGCATCAAGTTTCATCTACATTATGTTTGTGTCCAAAATTGATTCCCAAACCTTGAATTATTACTATCTAAAGTATTTAGAAAATATTCTATTCATAGTAAATAGTAGCTTTCAGTGGTTAAATCTGAAAAATAAAAACCCACCCATTTTGCTTTTCCTTTAATATATTTTTTCCTATAAAAGTAAAATAAACACTTGACAAAAAGTTTTTTAAATATAGAAAAAAGGAAATATTATCCAAAGTGCCAAATTATAACACAATTACTACTGCCTTTTGAGTCTTTTCAGTGTATATCCTTCTGATATTTTTTCAGATTTTTTTGGATTTTCCTGTATAGTGAAAATCTAGCTAGCTTTTTCAAAATTGCCTAGATATTTTTTACTCATCTAGGTAATAATGATAAGTTATTTTTTAATAACTTTAATATGTTCTGTCAGGTAAATTGTTGACTTGCTGTATCTAGGCTGTATCTTCTGTTTTCCACAAATATCTTTATGTTTATAGCTTTTTTCATGGTTTTGATTATTTTCTCAAGATATTCCAAGTACAAATATAGATCAAAGAATGTGGATACACACTACCAGTTTGCTTCTATAAAATTTAATTGCACAAAAGGGCCAGTTTCACTGTCTCATTATCAATGTTGAGTAGTATTGTTGCCTTTTATTTTTGCTGTGATTTTGTCAAGCTTAAGACATTCTCATTTTAAAGATGTTAAGAATGAACTTTATTCTCATATTAGTGGTTGTAATTTGCTTATTTTCCTATTTTTTTCTTTTCTCCAAACTCTCAACTTCTAGCATTTTCCATGTGCTGATTCTTAATCTAATTATTGTGGGAGCTGGAGTGATCATGGCCTGTTTCTACCCAAACATAGGAGGGATCATAAGGTACTGCTGATAAGGGAATGGTGCCCTTTTGTGTCTTGGTCTTTATTAGGCTTTTCCTGTTGGAGCTGTTGTTGTTACTGTTTCAATTTAATTGTATGAAATTCCTGTGAGTATTTAAAACTGGTAACATTTAAATGTAGTCCCATGGTATTAGCTAAAGTGCTCATTATGTTCCATTTTTGTTTATTCCTGGTGGAGAACTGACTCTAGAAGCATCATTCCATAGCCTCAGTCACCTTTCCCTTTCTTTCCTCATCTTTCCCTTTCTTTCTTTCCTCACCTTTCCCTTTCTTTCCTACTGTATTTCCTGTTTCTTTATCCAAAGTAAAAGTTATTTTTAATATGTAATATATAACTGCTTGGGGGTACCTGGGAGGTCCTTTGTATATCAAGACTATATTCTAACTTCCTTAATCCATTTCTGCTCAAAAATATATTTCAGTGCCAATTATAGTCAGAAAGTAAGAGTTTAGATCCCAGGTGGGTTTTTTTCCCTTAATATCCTTTCCCTAAAAAACTGTAACAGGTTGAGTAGAATGGGAATAAAGTTGTGACCTCAGATTCTCAAGGGAAACTGAGGTTTAGAATGATCCAATTTCACCAGCAGGGCTGAGTCACATTTTGGAAGATCTGTACCTAAGAAAGTAATGAGAAACAACAGGGGAGATGGTTAGCCTGACACTTATTGAATATAATGGACTTACAAGTTCCTATTAAACTGTTCCTCAAGAAACTCAAGTATAGAGAAAAGGAGGAGAAAGTACGTATTTCTTTGTCACAGCCTCCTATTATTTTTGTTATTATCTCTGATAATTATGCTGAATGCCACGGAGGCAGTCATCCATCTGTTCTCATTTTTAAACAGATGCTAACAGTTCCCCCAAAACTCAGAATGTATAATTAGTTTATAAAAGATCAAAGATAGGAAGCCTATCTCCAGATGTTTTTGAGGAAGTAGCCACAATCACTCAGACATAAGAGGAACTATAGAGATTTGAGGGATGAATAAAAAGTCTTTGTCAAGCAGATGCTATAAAGATGAGCAGGAAATAATATATTAACTTAGCAAGTAAAATAAGTTTTAAATCCAAATGCTTTATGTCAAAACAAATGAATCAAAAATAGTTTTGTTGCAATATCAGACTGAGGATTTATTAATAAATTGTAGTATATTCAACTTAATTGTAAATCAGAAAAAGCAAAGTGCAAGATGAATATTAACCCCAAAAGCTTTTATTTTGCAGATATTCAGGAGCAGCATGCGGCCTGGCCTTTGTATTCATATATCCATCACTCATCTATATAATTTCCCTCTACCACGAAGAGCGTCTGACGTGGCCTAAATTAATCTTTCATGTTTTCATCATCATTTTGGGTCTGGCTAACCTGATTGTTCAGTTTTTTATGTGAAATATTCAACTGTTTTCTCAAGATCTTTCATGGTATTTTGAACCCTGACAACAGTTCTACATAAATTCACTTGTAAATGCTGTTGTTGCCATAATTTTAAGTGTTTTCTAATATCATTTGAAAGCAAGGGAAAATAGTAGTCCACTAAGTATTTTTTATATGGGTGGGGAAAGGGGCCAGAAGAATGATCTTAGTCTCTTTACCTGTCTCATATTTACTCACTTCTTCATTCTCATGGTCTTTTCTGGGTAGAATGTATGCCCTAGGAAAAATCGCACTGGGATTTGCTTTTAGAAGTATTAAGTGGGCGGATTTATTTTGCCTACAGTAAAGATTCTCAGGGGGTCACAGGAGCATATTGCCAGATCCTGTTTCTGTTTTATGTTTCAGTATATTCACTTTCATTTTCTTTCTTGCTAGACCATTTCTGCAGTTTGCCCAAACCTCTAGTGTTTGGGACAGCAAACGAAATACCTCATTTTTAAAAAAGAAGTTTTCGTGGTATCAGTGTCAATAGAGTGAATTCTTAGCTATGTGTTTAATCTCTATTTGAAGAAAAAAAGGGGGAAAACAAAACAAAACAGTATCAGTATAGGACCCAGGGTCACGAAACATATGTAAAATAAACAAAGTAGGAGAGTTTGTTGCTGTCTGACTTCTCTTTTATTTCTAATCCAGTACCAGTGACTTAGGTCAAAATCACAGTTCCCCAAACCAGATTTTGCACAGGAACAAGAATGATTGTCCCCATAGACCCAGGGCATTATTTTGCTTTTTGGATCCCTGAACATTGCTGTTGTGACAGGCCAATGGGGAAAACATGGCAGAAAGGGACCAGTGAGGCCCACAGGGGAGCAGGGGATGGAAAAGGGGCCAGAAATGGAGAGGCCTTAGCCCACCATATCTTATATCCTATGGGGGTGGAAGTGGTTTCTGTGCTGCAGAAAAGGATTTATTTGAGTCATGACCTCCAGAAGGAGGTCCCATCTGCTCACTTCTGTGACTGGCAGGGCAGAGAGTTAAATCCCCATAAGAACTCCTTAGATCAGAGAATAGGGTTAGGGAATCTGGATTCTTGGAATTGACACTCTCCCCTTTTTTATTCCAAACTAAGAGCTAAACCAGAATCCAAATCCATGTCTTCCACGTAATACAGCCTCTGTGTTCAGCTCAGAATTACAACTTGGTAATGTTTCTTTTCTGAAAAATTTGGATTTCTCTAAAGTGTAGTCTAAAGTTAAAAAATGTATATCCACATCCAAGGATAGTGTATAGATTTGTGTTATTTCCTTCCTTTGAGAAAGACAGGTGAAATAGTTTTTTAAACCTAGTAAGGGAGCCCCAGGTTCAAGACCAGCCTTAATTTCTTTCAGCAAAACTTTCTATCCTGTTCATAAAGCCATAGACCTGTATTCATGATTAACTACATTTCCTAAAGCCCTTTTTTGAAAAGTCTCATTTTGAAAATTCTCAAGCCCACACAAAAGTAAAGAGAATAACATGTTGAACCCCCATATACCCATTCCCTAGATTAGTAAGTATAAGACTTTGCTGCATTTGCTTCACCTATCTCTTGTTTTTCTGTTCCACTGAAATATTTTAAAGTCAATCTCAGACATCATATCATTTCATCTCTATAAACCTTATTACACAGCTAATAGCTTTTTGAACTCAGTTACATTAATAGAGATAGTCTGAAAAGTTTTTGTTAGGAGAAACAACTAGTGAAAGTTAGGTTAACTAGAAAATTCTGAAGTAAATGTCTGGATCTCTGTGTTACTCTCTCTTAGGAGTTTACTAAATGGAGAAAAATATCTGTCTGTGCTTGAGGGCCCCTGAATCTTTATGACTTCAGGGTCTTGTTGACACGACATAGTATTCAAAAGCTAGGTAACTTTTTTTTTTTTTTTTTTTTTGAGACAGAGTCTCACTTTGTTGTCCGGTCTAGAGTAAGTGCCATGGCGTCAACCTAGCTCACAGCAATCTCAAATTTCTGGGCTCAAGCAATCCTTCTGCCTCAGCCTCCCGAGTAGCTGGGACTGCAGGCATACACCACCATGCCCAGCTAATTTTTTTCTCTATATATTAGTTGGCCAATTAATTTCTTTCTATTTACAGTAGAGACGGGGTCTCACTCTTGCTCAGGCTGGTTTCGAACTCCTGACGTTGAGCAATCTGCCCACCTCGGCCTCCCAGAGAGCTAAGATTACAGGCGTGAGCCACTGCGCCTGGCGCGCTAGGTAACATTTTGAGAGATCTTCTAGGCTTAATCCTTGTTTATCCCTAGTTGTCTCCCTTGTCTTTAAACACTTTAAAGACAGAGTTTTCATTGCCTCTTTTCAATAAGGTACTTGAATGTTTTAACAAGTGGAAAAATGATTTGATGTATTTTTGTCTACTTAATGAACAAAGTGAATATGACAATGAATGTGTTATTTACTAAACTAAAAAAGTAATGTGGATCTTTGCTTTTGTTTTCTTTAAAAAGACTCGATAATTTAGAATTTCTTTTTTTTTTTTTAATTTCTAAAATCTTATGTTAGGCTTATATACATAACTTTGCCCTCTTATGTTTCTTTTCATGAGATCAACTCCTTTGGCCTGTTGTTTGGCTTGGTCAGAGAACTCTTTGTATGTAAGTGTGTATGTCCTGGCCCTCACTTTAGAATGATGAGACATGAAGTCATTCAGATCACATTACAATTAAATTTAGACTCTATCTCTACTGTCATCTCTTTGAATTTTCAATTAAATTTTTTTCACTTTTTCCTCAGATGTGGTTAACCTTAGTTGCTTTGAATTTAGCTTATTTGACACACAGCTGAGGATGTTATAAAATTTTAAATGTGCTGTTTAAAGAGATCTTCATTAAAAAGTCTATGGAAATTAGTCTGTAAAAAGGGACTATATTAAAGGGAAGTACTTTATTTACATTAAGTATATTTGACAAATACAGCACAGCTACGAACTGTAGAAATAGAAAAGTTTTCTGTTTCTAGTTGGAGTTCACTGGGAAAATATTTTATTTTATTTGTGTTTTGATTTATCTATTTTCATAAATAATAAACTACAGCATTCATTCCATTAGAGGAGATAAATATGTATAAGACATCATTCATGTCCTAAATGAAATTTTAATCTAGTAAAGGATCTATGTATATAATTAGCTGTGATACAAGGCAGTTTATACTGAGGACTATTAGAGAAAGAGATACAGATTCCTCTCAGAGTCCTCAGGGAGGGCTGATAAAGGAAGCTGAGTGGTAGAGCAGTGAAGACTTGTTTTCAGATTCCTCCTAATAACTGTCCAAAATTTAAATATTTGGTATGTTCACCAACAAATGGGATCATGTATGTTAAGTATATTTGTTTTTATTTTGGTAAATTGCCTTGAAAATAAGTTTTATGAGGAGTGTTTAACTGCTTCTGTATGCCATTTCTTCTCTTTGCATTTTGAACACACTATTATTCACCTCTATGAATCTTGGACAGCAAAACACAATTAATTAATAGAGGAAATAATTAGTAACACATTGAATGGTATAAACAGAAAAATTCTATAAAATTTTCTCTCTGAAGACTTGACTTACTTAAATATCAGTATTCAAAATGTCAAATGTTTGAACTCATTGATATGAGCAGAAAATATTGATGCTGTATGTTCCCTTTACAAATTACTGACCTGTTGCTTTGTAGAATCTGGTGATGGTGTTCCTTTTTTTCTTTTTTTTTTTTTAACTCAGTTTCATCCCAATTTGAATGTCCAAAACCAAATCCAAATCTAGTTGACACTTAAACAATAGACTGTTACATTAGTCTGTGGTCCAAACTGAAATTAATCCCCCACATGTGCACAAGCTGGCCTGGCTGGCCCATTTTACAGTTGACTGCCAACTTCTCTTCTGATTGTATAAACATGTATTGCAAAAGAGCTCTGACGGGAACCTCATAACCTAAACATTATTCTCTGAAATGTAATTTGTTGTCCTTTTATATAAAAGAAATTAAATCAAAATTATTTTGAAGAAGAACAACTCTGGGACTTTGTTTAATTGAATTTTGCTGGGAAACGTTATTGTCTAGTAGTGCTGGCCCCAGAGTGGGAAGAAGCTGGGTTTTATATTTTGCAGGGTCAAACTTCTCAAGTGACTTTGTGCCAGTGTTTCGCATCAGGCCACAAGGACCCCTTCCTAGTGTTCTGATCCTAGAGAAAGGTTAACATTATGTTAACCTTATGTTAACATTATGTTAACCTTAACATTATGTTAACATTATGTTTGGTTAACATTATGTTAACCAAAACCTAAAATGACCGTCCCTTAGGACAGCATACTGTTGTCACCTCTCCTTCTAAGAACATTCAGAATGAATGTGACACCAGGTAAGTGTAGCCCACTTTCTGGCAAGTGTAGCTTGGCATCATAATCTTCCAGAGCCACTTAAGTAAATAAACAGTTCTAATTTTCTGCCTTCCCTAAGTAATATTAATATTCCCCATTCCCCATATCATTTTTTTCTCTATTTTCCATCTCTTCGGCAAAGACAAAATAAGGCTATATCTTTTAAAAGATTAAAAACTTCTCCATCTTCCTTATTTACCTCAGGCCATAAAGCACAGGCCCAGGATAGGGATAGGAAAGAGCTCATGCTCCAGATTTTTCTTCCTTTGGCTGTGTCTTGATCTCAAGTGATCCGGTTATGTTTGGTGGGAGTAGGCACTCAGTATACACTTGTTTAATCAATTAACTAGTCAGGATTCTACTTTAATAGGAAACAAGTTAATTGCTATTTTCTAGGAGTTTGTTCTACACCCCCAAAAGCAAAACAAAATTGGGTCAGTCAGGTTCAGGATTAGGCACTCAGTCAATATTTCAAGTACTTACTAGATGCCAGACTTTATGCTAAGCACTGTGTATACAGTGGTAAATGAGCTAGATGTAGCCCTGATGGTGTAGTATCCTTTGCCCCCTCCCCCCTGAGCACCCACAATTGGGTCATCTTCCCAGGTGCCTCCCTAGTGCCAGGCTGTTGCCCTTTCCTCTTGCCCTGTCTACTGAATGATGTGGCATAGCCACATCATA